TCAAATCCTGGCTCTGCTACTTGGGCAGTTTACTTAGCCTCCCTGGACCTGTTTCCTCACTTTAAAATATGGACAATAAAAGTATCCACCCCATGGGGTTGTTGTGAGAAATGAGTTCACACAGGAGGTGTGCTTAGAATAGTGCCTGGTATGTACCAAGCGCCACTGAAGTGTGAGCTACTGTCATTACTAAGTACTTTAGCACATACATGGCCATTTACAGTGTTTTATGAGAAGAGTCAAACCAAAAAAACCCCACTGCCGCTGAGTTGATTCCGACCCTATAAGACAGAATAGAACTGCCCGTCAGGTTTCCAAGGAGCAGCTGGTTACCAAGACCTTTTGGTCAGCAGCTGAGCTCTTAACTATTGCGCCACCTGGGCTCCATGAGAAGAGTCAAGGATATATTAATATCGCCATTTCACATTCAGAGAAGTTCAGCCACTTGTTCAGTGTCACATAACTGGCAGCACTGGGACTCGAATCCCCAGCAGATGCCCTTACCCACTCTTCCTTCCTGCACCCCACCATGCTCCTCCTGATGCAAGGCAGGGGTTCGGCAGGGCCCTCTCAGGATCCCCCCAGGAAGGGTTGGGCCTGCCACCTGCAGAGCTGCCAGAAAGGGTGTCCAGTTCCTCCTCAGTGAGCAGTGAGTGACCTCTAACTCCAAGCCACATCCTCCTCCCTCAGCTGCCAGGACTGTGAGAAGCAGGGCCCCAGCCTCTACTTAAACGTCCCCTGTACTGGCTGCTCCCTCTGGCTGGACCGTTCTTCCCCAGATTTGTGTGCACAGCATCCTCCCTCCTTGTATTCACGTCTCTGTTCCAAGCTTACCTTCTCTGAGAGGCCTGCCCTGACTCCCTGCAGCTGACACCATCAGTGCCTCACCCATATCCCTCTGTGCGAAGCATTTCTGCATACACCACCTGACTTCCAACTGCCAGCACCTGTCACTCTACCTGAGCGCCCTCTCTGCTGATGCTCCAGGCCAGTGCAGACTGGTGAGTTAAGATCTCACATCCCCAGCAGCCCTCACCCACGAGTGACAGGAAGTGGCCCTATCGAAATGGAATAACTCTGAAGAGCATATTCTTCACTGCCTCTAGAAGCCTGCAGTGGTAATCACTTTATATGGCCACTTTTTTGGCTCCCTTTCCATTTCACTTTAATGGTGTTTCCTGGAATCTCTGCCCCGGCGGCACAAACAGTTAAGCATTCGGCTGCTAACTAAAAGGTTGGTGGTTTGAACCCACCCAGTGGCTCCACAAGAGAAAGACCTGGTGATCTACTTCCAGAAAGATTACTGCCAAGAAAACCCTATGGGGCAGTTCTAGTGTCATGTGGGTCAGAATCGACTTGACAGCACCTAACAGCAACTTCCCTAATAAATTATTTGCACTCAGATCCTTGTCTCAGGGTCTGCTTCTGGAAGAACCCAAATGAAGGCACCACCCTATCCAAAAAAGCTGTCCCCATCATTCCCTCACCCCACTTTATTTTTCTTCATAGCACTTACCACTACCCACAACTATATTACTTATTTGCAGCCACAGCTGTCATTTTCTCTGCCTCGTCCACCATGCTATGAACACTATCAGAAGAGAGGCTGTCTCATTGTTCACCAGAGTCCCTAGTGCCTGTGTCAGCGCCTATCACATAGTCAGCGCTCAAAAAATATTTGGAATGGAATAGATTCCCCTCCCCCACCCACCACCATAAACTACAGGCAGTCCCCGATTACAAGTTCCATTCCTAAATCTATCTTTAAGTCGAATTTGTATGTACGTCAGAACAGTTAGGTACGGTTTGTAGCTAACGTTAGTTAGTTAAATGTTTGTCTTAAAAAAAAAAATCCCAAACCCGTTGCCATCAAGTCGATTACAAGTCATAGCAACCTCATAGGTTTGTCTTAGTATACAGTATAGAGTGTACCTTTCTATGCATAAAAACATTAAAGAAACACTTCCAGATACACTAAAACATCTTTAACATAATAATACAGTAGTAATAGTAATAACGTGCCTCAATCAAATTTGTAATATAATAGGCTTCACGTGGGTTGTTACGTTGGGTCAGACGTTAGCAACCCAGGGACTGCCTGTAGCTTTACTGGAACTTGTACCTCAATGCTCCTTTACTCCTCACTGGGTTGTCTGATGGGTTGGCATAACCCGTAAAGGAGCCTCAGGGTTAAAGTAACCCCAGAGCCTTTGGAAAGAAGGAGAGACTCTAAAGTGCCAGGGTGAGCCACCCTTCTAGGCCACTGGAAGAAAGGAAAATCTCTGGCCTGTGACTAAGATAAAATATTTATGGTTCCTGAAGAGAGAAAAAGAGCCACGAGTGGGAGAGGGAGGGAGCCCTTCTCTGAGGTCAAGACTAAGTGTAAGATAAAAAGCAAGAGGTTCAAGGCAAAGAAGCCTGGGAAGCTGACTTCGCTGTGTGACCTCCGGCAAGTTGCCTCCCTTATCTGGGCTTCAGTTTCTCTACTAACAAAACAATGATCATGCTAGTCCCAGCTCTGAGGACCTAAGGGGTAAGGAAACAGGCCAGGTCAGGGATCAGGTCTAACCTTAACTACCCTTCAGCTTAGTACCATCATTTAACTATAGGCCTCAGACCTCTAGCACTGGACCCAGGGCCTGGCTGGTTATGACCTCAGGTAAGCCCATCCCGGTACCACCCAACCCATGCACACATCCCACAACCTCCCTCCCTGCCCTGTGGCCACTGCTGTCCTCAGGGGCACCAGCTCTCCGCATGGCCAGAGAGTCCACGGGGCACACTGGTAAGACCCCTAGGCTGGGAGTTGGAACTCTGCCTCTTGGAAGCTCTATGTCCAGGGCCAGTGACACCACTTCCTTGAGCCTCAGTTCCTTTATCTCTAAAACGGGTCTGATGGTAAGAATCCCCTGCTCTGTCACCTCACGGGAGCAAATGAAAGAATGGAAGTAAAAACACTTCGCAAACCATAAAAGACAAAGGCAATACTTAGCATTCGTTTAACACTTCCTCTGTGCCAGGCATGATTTCATTTAACCCCCACAAAGACATCCAAGGCAGGTACTAGTGTTATTTGCAATTTGCAGATGAGGAAACTGGGTCTTAATAATGAGAGATGGGGGGGATTTGAATCCAGATCAGTCTGGGTACAGAAGGCTCAGGAACAGCAGCACTCTGGGCTTACTAGGGTGAGGGGCAGCCCTCCTCTTCTTTCCTCTGCAGGTGGCAACAGGCTTCGAGCCCCCAAAACCTGTTCCACTGCAGGATTAACCATGTGGAAGGTCCAGACGACAGGCAGGGGGAAGGGGAGGGGGAGACGGAAACCACCAATTAGGTGCCAGAAGGGAGTATTATTATCAGTAATCTTCTAACACCCTGGCTGGGTAAGAATTTTTATCCCGGTTTTGCAGATGAGGAAACAGGGTTATAAAGGATAAGTCAACCTGCCCAAGATCAGAGTAGGCAGGAGAAACTCTTTTCCACCACCCCCCAGGTGGCTCCCTCTTCCCTGCTCCCAAATTCAGAGGTGCTGCTAAGCTCCCCTCCCTTGCCTAGGGCCCACAGCCCCCCTTACTCCATAACCACCTCCCTTGGGGATGCCCCACCCACCCTCTCTCCCTCATCCCAGAAAAGAACCACAGAGTTCCCCCATTGAAACAGACACCATCATTCTCAGAAGCAGTGGGCAACTCCCACTCCTGGTGGAATCCCACAAATATGTAAAGGGGATATTTTGGGAGCCAAGAAGTGTGGAAGATGGTCCCTGCCCCGCCTGGCACTCCCACTAGCAGGCACCAGCCCAAGTTCCTGATGCCAGTTTCGTATAGGAGGCGGCTACAGCTGAACAGCAGAGTAGGGCAAGTGGAGGGGCAGGGCAGACTCCCTAGGCCCAGACAGGCTGGCACTCCTAGGAGAGGGAGCTCGGGCTTCCCTGGTGGGACCATGGAAGGCAAAGAGGGAATGGGCGTGTGCATGTGGCTGCACTCCCTGCTGTTTCCTGGAGTGGGAGAGGCCTTGGCCAAGGTGGCAGAGGAGGAGGAGGAAGAGACCAGGTGAGGGAAGGTGTGTGCATGAGTCTTGGGCTTTGGCTCCACATCCGCCAGGAAGGCCTGCGTGAGCCCAGGAAAGCCGCTTCACCTCTCTGGGCCTCCATTTCCCCTCGTGAAAAAGGAGGGATCTGGGCTGGGTTTCTCAGGCCTCAGCGGAACGTGCCAGGTGACGGGCTGCAACCGGAGACAAGGGAGAGATGGGGGAAGGAGGCCAGATGAGGCCCCTCCCAGCCTCCCAAATGCCCCTGGGAGGTGGCGGCGAAGCCTGCCATTTGCCTGGGCGCCCCGGGACTTTAGAAACCCCAGGGGGGAGGTGCGAGAGAAAACAGGTTTCAAAAATAGCCGGGATGCCAGCTTCACCACTTCGACCTGGCTAGTGGAGGAAAAGCGGGGGTGTAGACTGCCCGGTGTGAGAGACCTACGGAGACCCAGGCCGGGCCTCGCCCCCAACCTCAACCAAGTACCTGCGACCCCAGGCTCACATTCGAGTGGGTCTTTGGGCACCCGGGAGTCAAGAGAGGGCATCGTAGGTTGGACTAGGGGAGGAGGCAAGTGTGCTGCCGCCCCTCGTTAACCTCTCAGAGGGGGCGCAAGGGTGCGAGGACCTGGCCATCCTCCCAAGCCCCTGCGCCCACTCCCCTCCCCCGGCCACCGACTGCGAGCTCCTGCCTCCCCCAAGCTGTGCAGAGCAGGTCAGCTTTCCTCTCCTGACCTGCAACCCCGTCCCACTCCCGCTTACACCTGGGCACCCCGAGATCCAGCCTCGTCCCCAAGTTCCTGCCCCTCCTGCCCGGCTGCACAGAGCGAGGGAGACACAACTTGACACCGAGCGACCTCCCAGCCCCGCCGGGCCCTGCCTCTCCTCAACGTCACCGAACTCCAGGCGCCGCGGGAGGCCCGTCTGCCGCGGCCCGACCCCGGCCCGGCCCCGGGGGACGCGCACACACTCACTCCGGTGCCGGCCGGCGCCCCCCCAGCTCTGCTTGGCGATGCTGGGGCTCCGGATCAGTGCCCGCCCCGCGGACTTGAGCGCGTCCATGGCTCGCTCCGATTGCCGCGGCCAAAACTCCGTAAGGAAAAACTTTCCGCCGGGGCCAGGCGGCGCGCGCTCCGCGCTCTCCCTTCCCCCGCGCGAGCTCCGCTGCGTCGTCCGGAGGGACGGGGCCAATGCCTTCCAAGCCCCGCCCCCGGACCCGCCCCCGACGGCCCTACCTCGCCCCGCCTGCCCTACCCTGCCCTGCCCTACCCTCAGAGCAGGGCTGGGCGCGCCGCGCTACCTGGCCCGGCGCGGACTAAAGGCCTCGTTGTGGTCGAGTCCATTCCAACTCATAGCGACCGTATTTAGACACAGTAGAACTGCCCCATAGGGCTTCCAAGGAGCATCTGGTGGATTTGAACCCCTAAAATAATGAGCTGAAAAGAGGACGGCTCCTCCTTTCCCACCCTCTCTCTCACCTCATTTCCCCCACCCAATAGGAACTGGCAGGTCAGAGAGCCGCCGCCGCCACACCGCGGGACTCTCCCCTTCGGAAGGCCCGACCCTAGGATTTCCTAGACAGCCCAGCTGAAAGGTACTTGGAGACCACTTTATGGATGGGAAGACTGAGGGCCGGAGAGGGGTCCTGTCCAGAGGCAATAGCAGGGAGATGGCTAGGACAGAGGGAGGCTTAGAAGGAGAGGGTGGATGTTGTAGAACTTTGCTGGGAATGGGCAGGAGTATAAAAGTTGGCCTTAGCAAGACCAACTGGCACCTTACCCACATAGCACCCAGGCTGTTCCTTGGCACCACCTGGGCACACTGTTCCCCTCCCCACCCCCAAGGAGGCCTCACAAGGCGGTGTGTTTTAGCTTCTGACACTGACTCGCCGGGCAACTCGGGCAAGACCTTGCCCTCTCTGTGTCTTGTTCTTTATCTGTAAAATAAGAGGGGACCCCATCACCATTGGTCCTCCCAACCTAACAGGGCTGATGTGCTGCATGACCTCGACCCAGCCCCCCTCCCCCCCCCCGCCCCTTTTCCTAGGACGCTCTTGGAGGGGCCAAGAGTCTCCCTTCTAGAATTCCTCAAGCAGATGCCCTAAAGCCAGGATTCTAGAACTGTGACTCTGTAGGATCCTGTGACTTCCTGTCAAACTGCCAAAAGGAGTCAGAAGGAGAGTATGTACATTCAGGCCCAGGGTCTGGCTTCTTTTGGGTGGAGGTGCCTCAGCCAGGCGAGCTAGAGAGAGAGCAGGGCGAGCTAACCCTCACAGTCAGCCTCTGTGCTTGCTCCAGGGTCAGAAGCCAGGAGCCTGGTTTCTGTGTTGGAGGAGAGAGGAGGCTGTGCTAGTCCCAGCTGGCTGGGGAGGCCTGGACAACACTGCCACTCCCTGTTCATAAACAAAGTGGGTTTTCCAACCATTCTGTCTTTGCTTCTCCCAACATCATGACTAATGTGGATGAGGCAACCAGAAACAGACCCATTTTACAGAGAAGGAGCCTGAGGCTAGAAGTGAAGCATTCACCAAGGCTCTCCAGCAAGTCAGAGACCCAGATCAGACTCAAACTCAGGCCCATAGGCCAGAGTAGAATGCTTAGGGTTTGAACCCAACTCTCCTCCTTTATGTAGTTGTTAACCTTAGCAAATCTCTCACCTTTCTGAGCCTCATCTGTAAAAGGGGCAACAATACCTATTCCACAGGACTGTTTGCAAGCAGTTGGAGAGACTGAGTCTTGTCCTTGAGAACTCACCTTTAAAGTCACTTCCTCCAGGAAGCCTCCCCAGACTCCCACCCATGGGTTAGGTTTCTCCCTGTGGGCTCTCACAGTCCTGGGCTTTTGGCATAACAAGTATTGCCACTGCCTGTTTTTACTCTTCTCACCCCCACCAGACTTTGTGTCCTTCAAGGGCAGCAAGTTTTTCTGATTCATTTGTGAAGCCCAAACGCCTAGCAAGGGGTCCAAATGGAGTTGGAAGGCAGTCAGTGTTCCTTTCTTCCCTCTCTCCTCTCTCCTTTCCTTCCTCTCTCCAGCTTTTACCCACACCAGGATGCCTCCTCCCACAGAAGGACAGAAGGGCTGTGGCGATAGGTAGTTAGGTCCTCAGGGCTGAGCCCCTCAGCTCTCTTACCCTGAGCCAACTGGGTCTTGGAGTGGCAGAGAGAACATTCTGGAGCCCGAAGGAAAAGCAGTCACCCAGGGCTGTCTAGGAAAGGGCAGTGGGCAGCGTGGGCTGGAAGGGGGCACTGTATGGGCCTGGTACGCAATCAGGCCTGGAGATGTGCATGCAAGGAAGGCTGTTTGTGGGGCCTTCACATCCTCCCAGAGATGATGCTGGGAGCTGTCAGCCATGCATTCCCCGCAGAGGGCAGCCTGCTTGTGTCCTGCTGATTCCAGAAACAGAAGCAGAAACAGAAGGTCAGAGCTGCAAGGGGCCGCCTCTGAGGTCCCATGTCCAACCCCTCATTTCACAGCTGAAGAGTCTGAGGCCCAGAGAGGGGCAGTGACTTGCCCAAGGTCACACAGCAAGCCAGGACTGGAAGCCAGGTCTCCTGCCTCCCAGACCGGATGCTTATAAAACCAAGGAGGGAGTAAAGAAATCTTGAAAATACACCAGTATTCAAGAAGGGGGTTTAGGGTGATTTTTCTTTTCTTTCTTTCTTTGCCTTATCTGGTCTGTCTCTGCAGAAATTTCTAAAATGATCATATATCCTTTAGTAAGCAGAAAGAAAAAAAAAAAGGGAGAAAAAGCTACCTATAGGAATCACTGGCTTTAGTGTTGAGGACAGTGGGATCAGAACTACAGTCTTACTGCTTTCTCTCCCACTGGGCCCTCCTGGGACCCCAATGAGGTAGTGGGCTTCAGGGCTGTCAGCTTCTCTCCAGCAGTCACTGGAGCTTATAGTGGGACCAAGACAGAAGCCTAGACAGGGATCAGGAACCCTGGTTTCCTCAAGTACCGTGTCCTTCTCTCTTTACTTCCCTGAGTTAGATCCTTCACCTGGCTGGGCCTCAGTTTTTCTATCTGTAAAATGGGAGTTATCAGTGGAAGACAGGAAAGCACAGTGGTTAAACATATGAATGCTGGAGGCTGGAATCCGGGCTCCCTCACTTCTTTACTTCATGACCTTGGGGAAGTCATTTAAATTCCATGGACCTCAGTTTCTTCATCTATAAAATGTGGACTGTGTCTCATTAGGTTGTTGTGAGGATTAAATGAGTTAATATTTGTATTATGACTTGCATATAGCGAGTGCTATATATGTTGCTTATTTTAATAAAAATAAAATCAACACTTTCCTAACTGGATAAACAGTGAAGATGAAATGGCTGGGTGGTTACTATCATTGTTATTCTTGGCTGGTCCTCAGTGAAGGGAGCTCTCTCAGGACTGGAAGCAGCCTGGCCCAGTCTGAGCTGTGAGCATCCAGCCTCATGACAGCCCCCACAGTGCCCTGCCCCTGCCAACTGGCAGGGCAGGGCTGCCCTACCCTCCCTCAGGCCCAGGTCTAAGGCAGCCTCTATCCAGGGAGTCAGGGAACCTGGGTTACAGGGTGAGTCGGGAGCCCCAGGGATTCTTGCTTAGACTCAGCTCTGACCTTTCACCCTACCTGCAGGGCCTCTGCTGCTTGCTGTGCCCCACTGACCTGGCAGCCCTAATCAGTTGCCTCTGAATCCCTCCTTCTCAGACCCTTCCTACACTGCTTTCTCTCCTAGAAACATCCAGGTAGATTTCCTCCCTGCCTCTCCTGGCTTCCCTGCCTTTGCCCAGAATGTCTAGCTGACCTTCTCCCCAACAGCCACGGTCACAGCTACCCATACACCAGCCTTCCTTCCCCAACACACGCACACACTATTTGACCTTGGAGTTTTCTACATGCCTGAGCTCTAAAACCAAATCCTCCATTTATAGCTATGTAACCTTAGCTGGAGAGGGCACTGCTGGTTCGGTGGTAGAATTGTCACCTTTCATTCAGGAGACCCAGGTTCGATTCCTAGCCGATACACCTCATGCACAGCCACGCAGCCACCACCCCTCTCTCAGTAGAGGCTTGGGTGTTGCTATGATGTTGAGCAGGTTATAGTGGAGCTTCCAGACTAAGATGGACTAGGAAGAAAGGCCTGGTGATCTACTTCTGAAAATCAGTCAGTGAAAACCCTGTGGATCACGACAGTCCGATCCACAACTGATCATGGAGATGGCACAGGACTGGCAACGTTTCAATCCATTGTGTGTGGAGTCGCTATGAGTCAGGGGCTAACTCGATGGCAGCTGACAACCTTAGCTGACTCTGAGACTCAGTTTGCTCATCTGTGAATGGGGAGCATACCTGCCTTGGAAGGCTTTGTAAGGCTTCTGTAGGATAATATGTGGGAAGTGATTAGCCCAGACCTTGGCATGTGGCACCCCTCAGTAAATAGTAACTCTGGTTGTTGGTGAACTTGTTTGCCTCCCCCAGCAGCCTGAGCATGCCTCAAGCACGGGGACAATCCTTGTCCACCCCAGGACCCCCTAGAGCAGCTGACCAGTGTCTGGCATAGAGGAGGTGCCCAGTACACATCCCAGGACTTAAGTCACATCCTCTGGCTTTCAGTGTGTGCCCAGCAAGTAAGCAGGTGACCCTCTGCATTTGGAGGAACAGCAGTGCCTGTGGGGCTGGAGGAGGTGCTCCTGAGGGGCCCCTTGGCTGCTGCCTGTCTAGTCTGCCCTCCTTCAGGAGGGCCAATAGCTGTCTCCTCCCCAGCCTGGGCGTCCTCGGGAGAACTCTGGGTTATGGAGCCACTGAGCTAATTAAGAATGACAAAGCACCATGTAATTGCCAGCGATTGATGAGTTCCCTGCCTTTTCCTGCCTCTCCTGCCTTCCTTGGCCTGGTGGTCACTGCCCTGTTGAGGAGGCAGGCGGAGTGACATAACTGAGTACAGGCTAGTGTCAGGCGTCCTGGAGGCTGGCCACCCCCACCACCCACTTGTCCTGGGACCCTGGGCAAGGAAGTTCCCTTATTACATTAGTTCCATTTCCTCCTCTGCAGGGCTCTTGACCTTGTGTTCACCCACTGCCATTGAGTTAGCTCTGATTCTCAGTGACCCTACGACAAAGTAACCAGACCTTGT